CAAATCAGTAAATCTCTGAGAAATTTCCTTAGAAGTTTTTACACTGCTTTTTGTTTGTGGAATACAAAAAATTTGCTTATATTATTTTTATCTAAATGTTCACTATACAGTAAGTAGAAAAGTAATTTCTAACTTGTAGACTGCACTGATTACCTGAAAAGTTATTTTAGATGGTAACAGTTTACACATACAGGGTAGGCACCTGACAGAGCAGAAAGAGCAAAGTCTTTAAGTCAAACAGAATTAGATTCAAATCCAAGTATTTTTTCCCCTGAGCTCCTTACCAATCTTTGCCCACTGATCTGCTGTGTTGTAGACTGTGTAGTGATCAGAAACACAACTGGAGCACAACTGCCTGGATTTAAATCCAGACTCTGGCTCATACCTGTGTCACCTCATGCCTCATGTGTAAAATGGAGATAAGCTGAACTAAAACCAAACCTGACAAGGTTACTGCAAGCATCAAATAAGAAAACATAAAGCCCTTACGTTATAATTTATATAATGCTTTACAGTTCACAAAACATGGTATCTGATTCCTATTACTGAAACATCCTCAACTTAGGTGATCTAATTTGCCAGATGTATCATGAAGCTCTCAAAACTTCCCCAACTGATTATAATTAATTTTCTTTTTATGTCCCAAGCACATTAAGGAAACTAAGCTATAGTCTATAATAAGGTAGGGTAGCTATTGTCCTCATCTAGTAGAGAAATATATACAAGGCATTATGGAAATTTTCATAGTAACATTTCAAAATTATTCTCTTGAATCCAACTGTATAAATGAGTAATTCTGAAATGCAGTCAGTTGGAAGAACATTAACTGAGAAACTTAAAGAAGCATTCCTTCCAGGATAGATGAGTCAGGAAAAGGAATCCCCCACTATTGACCTATAGTGGGCCTTGGGTCATCCTACATGGAATACTGCAATCTGTACAGGGGTAGGTACAGTTCATCATCATTCTTGAAATAGGGAGACTTGGCAAAAGGACAGACAGCACTCCAGGCACTATAAATCTGGTTTTGGCAAAGTTTATAATCCATTCATTGCAATTTTTTTTCATGCTTCAGGTTCCCTGGAATATTAACTGCCTTTTAATTATTATTATTCAGCAAGCCAGACAAAAGATAGAAGGGATCCTGAAACCTCCCAGCAGCCTTCTTAGCCCAGGAAAAAATTCTTATTTAGGTCTACAGGTAAACAGACTATGGCCCTATCAAAGGTAATAAACATTTGGGAATCATATGCTGAAATAATTAACATCTCAATTACTACCTCTGGATACTTAATACTTATGTACTTAAAATACTCAATGCCTCATTTCATTCACACAACCCTGCAAAGTAGCTTACAAATAAGGAAACCAGGGATTCTGAAGTAGCAACCAAAGCGGGACTCACCAAAACATAAGGCCATGTCAGTTTTGACTAAGATCATGGTTTAAGACTTTTATATCTGACTTTCAAATTATTGATTACATTCCAGAGGTTTTGTTTATGAGGCTAGTTTGGGTTTGAGAAGCAAATAGTTACTAAGTCTACAATGAAGCCTTCAAAAGCATAAAATTTCCATTTTCAACTTATCTTTGTTGGGTTGGAGAAGGCAAGAAAAGAGAATACCAGCTAAAATTACCCTGATTACAGCCTGAAGTGCTTCATCAAATTGTCTCCAGCATACCTTACAAAGAAATCAACTTTTTTGTCCATACTACACCCAGAAGGCATGTATATTCTCAAAAGAACTTGCAAAGAAAGGTGTTGATCTGAAATTCCTTTCAGGGCTGAAATGCTAACAGCATTTTTCATCTCCAGGTGACAGGATTCTGGGAAATTTTTATTTCTTGTATTCTTCTGTGTTTTATAAACTTCATTTACATAACACACATTCTATTTTTAATCAGAAACTTTTTTTCTTTTAATTTAAAACTTCTTTTGGAAAAACACCTTACCATATTTGTGAAAACTCAATGTTCTGACACCTTGTGACTAGTGTCTAGTATTAAGCAAGTCTAAGAAGACATTAACAGTGCTTAAAAACAAAAAACTCAGCATAGAGCTGGGTGTGGCAGTGCACCCCTGTAATCCCAGCAATCTGGGAGGCTGAGGCAGGAGGATTCCAAGTTGAAAGCCAGCCTCAGCAATTTAGTGAGGTCCTAAGCAACTCAGCAAGTTCCTGTCTCAAAATAAAAAGGGCTGGGGATGTGGTTCACTGGTTAAGTACCCCTGGGTTCAATCCCAGGTACCAGAAAAAAAAAAAAAATGTAAAAAATTCTGAGTGCCTGCAAATTAGGGGATTTTTTTTTCCCCTTATCAAGTAACACATTTCTAGGTTACTGCTTTTTCATAGTTCCACTAGGTTAAAAAGGATCATGTTCTGGTGATCTTTTTGGCTTAATTACAAGGTTTAAAAAGTAACATGTGCTGTTTATGGCAATTATATTTCAATGAGCCATTTAAAGTAAAAAGAAACTAGAAAGTTACTGATAGTTTATAAGTCATTTCCAAGTGCACGTTTTCATTTGGTCCTCACAAGTCTGTAAAGCGGTCAGAAAGGACTTTTCTAATAATTATCTTGTCAATAACACTACATGAACCAGAACCTACACCCCATTCTTCAGACCTCTCTTTACCAGTTAACTTCCACCTGACAGAGGTTCTAGGTTCTAGTCCCACTAACTTGGTGCATGACCTAAGGCAAGTTAACCTCCTTGGGCCTACTCTCCTGTCTATAAAATGAAGTAGTACTGGTAAGTCTAGGAAGGGCCAAGCTGCATATACTATATCAGCTTCCAAAGTCCACTGCTGGAATGCCGATTCTGCTACCTATGCTGAACAAAATCTCGTTCATCCTTCAGTTATGTATTCAAATTCCCCTTCTTTCAAAAAACCTGATCTTGGGCTGGGGATGTGCCTCAAGTGGTAGCGCGCTTGCCTAGTATGTGTGAGGCACTGGGTTTGATTCTCAGCACCACATAAAATAAAAATAAAGATGTTGTGTCCACCTAAAACTAAAAATTAAATATTAAAAAAAAACCTGATTCTATTACAAAAATGATCGTGCCAGCACTCCCGAATTATTATGTTGATGGCCCTATATCTTCTTATGACAATTTCTACCTTTCATTACAGCTATCTTACTATTATATCTCTTCTACTTTGCATTACAGCTATATCCCTTATGACAGTATGACTACTTTATCACTGAAACCATACCCAGAATTCCCCACAGCACATTGCTCTACATAGGTACTACAGTTGCTAAACATGAAAATCTGAAAAAGCAGAAGAAATAAAATAAGTGTGAAACACTCTCTCAGTAATACAGTAAATGAGAGCCATGTTTACCATGACCTCCAAGCCAGAACCATCTACCTGAATCCTTCAGACTCTTTCTCTAAGCCTGATTCCTATCACCTAGATGAAAGCAGCATTTTGGAATTCTACTCCTGGCTCGGGCGCTGAGAATCTGATCAGTAGACATTATACAACTGTGAACCTCGGTTTTTCATCTGTAAAATGGGCAGAATAGGACCAATTTTACAGGGTTACCCTGAGACCCAAATAAGAACGAAGTCCCCTCTAGAGTTACAAATTTCTTAACTTGAAAGTACTCAATGAACTAGCCACTACCTATTTTTCAAGTCTTCATTGCTTAACTCTAACCAAACTGGAGAACACTCCACTCTGTGTAAGCACTCTTACTTGCTATTTGTCTTATCCTATAATAAATCAAGTCTTCCCACTGCTGGAGAAAATTCTAAGCATCGTTCAGGGTCTACTCAAAAGCCAACACTAGTTTAGAGAACCTCTAATTCTTCCTCATCATCCCTTCCAAGGCCCTCTAGACCGAAAAAACTACAAATTCTTCATACTTTTTTTTTTTTTGACATGGGGTGTAGTTTTGGTGGGGGCACTCTACCTCCTGTGTTCAGCAATACCGAGTGAGAGCTCTTTTAACACCAATTACATTTTAAGTCGTTTGATTTTACATGAACTAGCATAAATAGCGGGGGTGGGGTGGGGATTTGAGATCCAAGCACAACTGGAGAAAGGGGCTCAGTCAGCTTCGCAGCCTGGACTTCTCGCTCAGGTCGCTGTGAGCCCTGTTAAAGGAAGCTCGGGGACACCGGCCCGGAAACTTTCCGAGAAGGCTGTTCACTTTTTGAAGCCGAAGGGTCTTTTCCTCGAGTCCTAACTTCCTTACCCCCTCGTCTTTTTAAGAATAATGCTCGAGAGGAAAACAAGGGCAGGATACCTGCCTGGAAAAACTAGACTACAAACTTTTTAACTAGAGTGTTCCACCGGAACCGAGGGAGGCTCCTCGGGGCGCCCAGAGAGGCGAGCTGATCAGTGTCCAGCGGAAACGAGTGCAGGAGTCGCTAGCCCCAATCTCGTTCAGTCGGGGCATCAGTCCCTTCAGGACCGGCGCCCCAACGCGTGCTCTCCACTCCCGGAACGCCGACCCCAGGAAGAAGCCGGCCCCGGCGCTGTAGCTCTGAGGAGAGCCGGGAGCGGCCAAGCATGCGGATCCAGAATTTCTCGCCGGCTCCACCGCTCCGGGCTGCTTAGGCCCTGGTGCCCCACATGGCGGCGGCCGGCCGCTAGGCCGCAGGCCCGGTTTCCCCCACTGGGTGGGTAAGGCTTCCTGCCTTAGTCCTTAGCCCTAGCACCGGGCTCAGGCCCTCACCTCGTCCCCGGACATGGCTGCGGTTCGAGTGGGCTCGGCACGAATGAGAAGTCAGACGGATCAGCCCCTGGCCTCGCCGGCAGCGCTGCTCCTACCGACACCTCTCCCAGCACCGCACTAGGCTCTTGCATCAGCGAAAGGGAACGACACCCCGCCCTCCTCCCAAACGTTGGAAGTGCGCCTGCGCAGAGCTCGCCGAGGCGCAGGCGCGCGGAAGAGCCCACCCAGTGCGCTTCATGTGGCGCGAGTAACCAGGGGACGCTGCGGCGCGGGCATGCCGGGACTTGTAGTTCTGGAAGAGGCAGCCGCCCTGCAATCGGTGCGCGGAGTCTGAGCGATCCCAGCCTAGAGATTCGGTTTCTTGTTGTGACTATTGCCTGAGCCTTTCGGAGAATTCGGTATTGCTATGCTAGTCTGCTTGTAGAGTGAATTGGGGGCCATTTCTCCTGAGATAGGCAGGTAGGTGAGACTGTAATATGAACCCGTCGTGCTGTTTCCCCGGTCCCTGAGGTATTCTAGTATTTGAGGAATTCTAAGTCGGAACTGGAGACGCGCGCCTCACTAGAAGGTTTTACTTCGTGAGACATTTAACGTATTAACTTTTTACTTGGAAGACAGGAAACCGAAAGCCTTCTCCCCCTGCCTCTCCAGAGGTGGACTGAGGAAAGAAGGCGTTCCCTGAGGAGAAACGGACCAGCGAGAGAGGCTCCGGAAGCCTCAAAACAGGCATGCCTCGCTTAATGACAGATACATGTGGAGAAGTGTGTGATTCGGCAATTTCCTGGTCGTGGAACATCATCACACAACGAAATGGGCTACAATGTCCCTGTGGGACCACCACCGTGTGTCTTGTCGGTCCTGGACAGAAACTTCGTTAGGTGGCGCAGAACTGTACTTGTTTATGAAGTCGCCGCTTGACTGCACAGGGTGCACCTGCAGTTCCCTTTGGGGCATAATAGTTAACTAACATTTAGGGCGATCTCACTACTGTCGGTGCTCTCCAGATCACCCAGAACTCCTCTGGGGCTGGACAAATTGGGTTTGTTGACTCCTGGCAAGGAGGGAGGCACCTGTAGGAAACAGCAGGACATCTCAGGGACAGTGTTAGAAAGGATTTACAGTTTGGGCTTCTCAGGTAATTTGTGGGAGAGTTCAGGAGGCTAGGCTTCTCTCCGAATCAGGTGTTTATCAGAAGGTGGGTGTAATTCTGTGACTGGGTATTTTAATAATTCTTCCATAAAAGGAGAAGATCCGGGAGAGACTAAAGCTCTGATTGGTGAAGAAGCAATACTCCTTCATATGACAGATGATAAGGGAATATTTAGTCATTTTTTTGTGGCTGAAACAAGGCTTTTTTGTTTGTATTCAAATATGATTACAAAAGTGGGGGTTTTTTTTGTTTTGATTTGTTTGGATTCATTGTGATCATAGAGTAGCCCTGTCAGATGTTGGTGTTCCGTGAAATTATTTAACTCAACAGGTCAGCATATGCTAGGTGATGGTGCCAGCCTACCCCCCAACCCCACTATCAGGGGCTGATTTTTTCCTCATTATGTTCCATATTATGTAATATATGATCTCTGCTTTAGTTTCAAAACAACTAGTGTTTGATAAYCAAATATTTAGTATAAATATTTAGCACTCCTCACTGTATACTTCTCTCTAATCTAAGCATAGCTGGTTCTTGCCTCCAAGGACCTACTAATTTAGTGAGATGGATATTTTACTAACCCTTTTTTCAGATTAGGAAACTGCTTTTGTTGTATTGAATAATTAGTTTAAAGTCATATACAGTCAGCAAAACAGGATATCTGGGAATCCAAGTCCAGACAATCTGATACTGGTGACTGTCCCTTTATCACTTTAAGAATATGAATTCTTAAGGATCCTAAATTGCTGCCACTAAATCTCAGTTGTCATTTTCAGCTACTGATATCTTTACATATCACAGTTTCTCAACAGCAGTGCTATTGACATTTTGGACCAACAATTCTGTATTATGGGGTCATGGTCTATGCACTGTAGGACATTTGGCTGCATCTGTGGCTTCTATTCATGGATTCTAATAGGATCTCCCTCTACTAATAACAACCAAAAAATACCTCCACATATTGCCAAGTGTCCCCTGAAGGACAAAGTCATCTCTGATTGAGAAGCACTGGCATATGCCTTTTATCTCTTCCTGGGTCTTTGAAATAAAACAAACATTTGAGACCTGACAGTCCCCAAATAACTTTGAATGGGGAGGCCTTGGAGAGGAGACAAGGACACTGTGTACTAAGTTCTTGAAAAGTCTGTTCTAGGAAAATGAAGACAGAGACGGGAAAAACAAATCAAGTGGAAAATAAAAAGGGAGAACTGAGAAGAGATAAAGATGGAGAAAAGGAACTCGAGGAATGTAGCCTTACTTCACTCAGTTCACATTAGCAAAGTTATTTCACACTAACAAAAACACACTAAGGGAGTCCTAATGAGGCCTTATTTTACTTCTACTCCCTATTTGGAAAATGCTGGTATACTTAGCAAAGAGTCTTGATCAATTTGTGAAAGTATTTCTTTTTCTTTACAGCATGGTACCAGCTATAACCTCCTTGAACTGGCTACTTGAAAGAAGTCTTCCTTCAGTGATATCACTTCTTCCAAGGTAGTAGTTTATGTTCCAGGAAAAGTCAAGATTCCCTAGTGAGCTGGCCATTGTCACAAAGCTATGATAGCTAAGTTTTTTTTCAGGTTTTCTAAGTGCTTCTACTTAGCATTATCACAAATAATCACTTTTATTTTCATAACTTCTTTCATGTACGAATTTTACAAAGCATATGATGTTGATTAATTTTCATCTCATACCTGTGAAGGAAATCATTTTGATTTTCCTGTTTTATAGATACAGAAGCCAAAATATGGAGTCCACAAAAAATAGTGATAAATCTGGAAACAGCCTACAGGGATCTTCACTCTGGATCATTCTTTATGTTTAGCACCACCCCAGATCTTCAACTACCTAATAGTAAGCTAAAGATGATAATACTTCAATTGAATGCTAAATTATGTTTTTTTTTTTTATGTTTTTCCTTTGTAGGCATTTGATACCATCAGACTCTTTTTTTTTTTATTATTTTTTAGTTATTGGCAGACACAACATCTTTGTTTTGTACGTGGTGCTGAGGATCGAACCCGGGCCGCACGCATGCCAGGCCAGCGCGCTACCACTTGAGCCACATCCCCAGCCCCTAAATTATGTTTAAAGCAAATATTTTATTGGCTTTAAAATATTCCATAGTCTCTTCATTTGACCTATAAAATAGCAGGCCTATAGAGACTTTGACTTAAAACAATAGTGACAGTACTTGAACTAGTACCCAGATCTCATGATTCTTAGTCTAGTACACTTTTCACTTGGTAATACTTAGCTTACAGAAAAAATAATTAATATAGAAACTCTAATACACATAGTAATCCAGACGTATCCAACCATTTTTGAGTACTTCATTACATAGGGGTCTTAAAAAGTTAGCTTTAGGGCTGGGTCTGGGACTCAGCGGTAGAGCACTTGCCTAGCATGTGCAAGGCCCTGGATTCGATCCTCAGCACCACATCTAAATAAATAAAATAAAGGTATTGTGTCCAGCTACAACTAAAAAACATATATATTTTTTTAAAATTTAGCTTTAGTGAGGAAAAGAAAGTCATAGTAGGGTTGGGGTTGTGGCTCAGTGGTAGAGCACTTGACTAGCATGTGTGAGGCACTGGGTTCGATTCTCATAACCACATATAAATAAATAAATAGAATAAAGGTCCGTTGACAACTAAAAAGTATTTTAAAAAAGACATAGTATTTATTAATGAAAAGCAACTAGTAACTACAAAATTAAATTTATATTTGGGTTGATGTAGTAGACTTCAGAAGGTGTAGTGAGTCTTCCCCTAAAGAAGTCTTACATAGGGTTAGCCTTTGAGAAATAGATTAATAGGAATAAATTCTTAATTATCAAATTTAGTGATATGTGAAAATGACTAAAATTGTCTTTAAAAATGTGTCACTGAGGAGATTCAGGAATCATCAATTCTAAGAAAGTTGCCCAGGAAATACTATATTTCATAGCATCATTATGTTAATAGTTCCCAAATCTGTATTTCCAATCCAGACCTCTCCTCTGAGTTCTAGCCTCACATAATGCCTACTTTGAATTTGGTTGTCTTACAGAGGTTTAAAAAGAATTTTATTATTTCCCACATTAAATTTTCCTCACATCAGTTAATGGCAATGTTCTCTGCTCAGTTGCTTGTATTAGAAACCCAGGAGTTACCCTCAATTCTTTCCTTTCCTTTACCGTTGTCCTCCAATCCATTATCGAGTATTAATAAATCTGAAATTCAAACAACTTATCTCTGCCTCCACTACCACTAGCCTAATCTAAGTGATTGTCATATTTTTCTTGGATACTGAAATATTTTCCTTTTGTCCCTTCACAACACTTATCACAGTTTGTTTAATTTACTGATCTGCTATTTACTTGTGATTTTCTTAATCTTATATTACTACTAGACTATACAGAAATTCTTTGAGAATAGGTACACAGTCTGTCTTGTTCACTCTAATAATCCCAGCATCTAGCAGAGGACCTAGCTCATCATAGGAAATTAATAAATACTTTAGAAATTTGTTGAATTAATCAATGAAAATTTAATAGTCCAGAATTATAGCATTATTCTTATAGTGAAATAGTTGAAGTTGAGGCCTTTATTTAATCAAACCTGGTAAAATTGACTGAAACTACCTACCATAATTAAAATCAATTGTATTATAGTATATTTGAAAGTGTGTATTGAAATTAAAACTATACACTGGAATCCAGAAAGAGAGGAAACACTCAGGATTTGGCCATGTTTTCCATCCAGCATGTTCAGGATTGAGAAATTATGAACCCAAAGAACACTGTTAAGTTAGTTATTAGAAAGGTACACTTATTCTAGAGCATAGATCATTTCTTATGCTTTACCTGTGACCTGAATTAAATAGACCTTAATAACATCAACCTCCTTTTTTCTGATCATTCCCAAGTAGTGTTTTGATTATCAACTTAGATTCCTTGGTACCTTCATACTGGGAAAGAAATGATTTAGACAACAAACGTAAATATTCTAGTCACTGGAAAAATGCATTTCACATTAGAACATAATTCTGTGAGGACAGAAAATTAATCATTACAGTTACATTCTCGTTCTTTATAGAACTATGCTGAGCACAAAGCAGATTTTTTTTTTTTGGTAGGTATTAGGGTTTGAACCCAGGGCACTTAATCACTGGGCCACATCCCCCTAAAGTAGATTCTTTATAAGTACTTGGTGAATGAATGAATGTGTATTAGTAAATTAGGATTATATTTTATACCACAGTCTCTTATGCATTTTTTTTATTGTGAGTAGTCATCAAGTATGTGTTCTGTACTACATGTATTATGAAAATCAGATTTCTGATTTTGGAGGCCAAATATGAGATCCTGAACTCTGGTATTCCACCTAAAGGTCCTTGAGATTATTTGGTTATCCAGTTGACCTCCTCCTTTGGTATCTTATAACTCCAGTTCATCCTCCATTTAGCCCATAAAGTTTTTTAAATAAAAAGAAATCTAATTGTGTTGTTCTCCTGATTAAAAATCAATTAATTCTGTTACCTTCCGAATAATAGCTAGCCCAAGTCTCTCTCTATGTCCAGCTCCCCTTACAATTTTACTACCTATCTTTCTTAMCATTCCCCATTCACGGATGCTAAGTTCTAGCTGCACTGTATCCCTTAATATTTCATGAACATGCTGTGCTCCTTAATTTTTTCCAAACTATTTCCGCTGGCTAGAATGTCTTTGCCTGCTTTTTCCATCTGATGAACTCCTATCATCCTTTAAAATCCAGCTAGAGGGCTGGGGATGTGGCTCAAGCGGTAGGGCGCTCGCCTGGCATGCGTGCGGCCCAGGTTCGATCCTCAGCACCACATACCAACAAAGATGTTGTGTCCGCCGAGAACTAAAAAATAAATATTAAAAAATTCTCTCTCTCTCTCTCTCTCTCTCTCTCTCTCTCTCTCTCCTCTCTCACTCTCTCTTAAAAAAATAAAAATAATAAATAAATAAAATCCAGGTAGATGTTACTTTTGAAGAAGGCTTTGATTTCATTCTTGTTTTCTCTCTACTACTCTATCACAGTCCTTACCATATCATGGGTAGCTGTCTTTGAGGTCATGGAGGGCAGGATCTGTGTCTTACTCAACTTTCTGTGCTTTTCCAACACCTAGCACATATTTGTGAAAGCAAAACCTATATGAGGTGAGAGATAGGAGCACTAATAACTAACTTGCCAACAGACTTAGCTTCTTGAGCACAGCCTCCTTCCCAAGGGAGGATGGGAAATTTCCCAGCTATATTCTGTTTGGAATAGAGTGTGAACACAGTCAGAAAAGAAATGTGTTTTACATATTCCCTTTATGATTCACTATAAAAGGAGGTAATAACATTCTTCTTGACATCAGCAGGCTCTCAAAGGAGTGACTCATTGTACCTTGTACATACTCAGTACTGTGGATTGTCACTGTTTTTAAAATGTTTTGGATTCTCACTATTAATTGCTAATCTTTCCCCCTTGCTCTCGAAAGACATTGTAATATCAACACCCCGCACAGTGCCTAATACTTATTAGGAGCTCAATAAATGTTTGTTGAAAGACTTATGAATTAATAAAACAAAAATGAAACTTTCCCCTGTCTCCTGTCAGATAATTTAAGCYTTTCCTCTTAAAATGTTTTTATATTCCAGTTCCTCTTTATAGTGTTTTCCTTTTTGTTGGGAAGGGGGGACTCGGTAATGAACTCAGGGGCACTCAACCACTGAGCCACATCCCCAGCCATATTTTGTATTTTATTTAGAGACAGGGTCTCACTGAGTTGCTTAGCACCTTACTTTTGCTGAGGCTGGCTTTGAACTTGCAATCCTCCTGCCTCAGCCTCGGGATTACAGGTGTATGCCAACATACCATATAGCCATTTCCTTTTAAAAATATTTTTATTGGTGTGTAATAATTATACAGAATAATGAGTTTCATTGTGGCATATTTGTATATGCACATAACATAATTTGATCAATTTCATTCCCCAGAACCTTCTCTTGCCCTCCCCTCCTTTCTCTCCCTGACTCCCTTCCTTTATCTTACTGATCTCCTTTCTATTTTCATGAGATCCCCTTTTTTTCTCTCTAGCTTTCAATTTTAGGAGAGAAAACATGACCTTTGACTTTCTGAATCTGGCATATTTCACTTAAAAATGCTTTCCARTTCCATCCATTTTCTTGCAAATGATATAATTTTATTCTTTTTAAAATTTTTTTGTAGTTGTAGATGGACAGAATACCTTTATTTTAATGAAATTATATCTGAGCTACAGTCCCAGCCCAGATATAATTTCATCCTTATTTATGGTTTTATAACCTTTTATAATCAACTTAGCCTATTATAATATTACCCTTTTCTGTTGTCATTTAATACTTATTGGATAAATATTGGATAAACATTTAGCCTATGCTATTTTGCATTGTTGTTTATTTTTAAATGCATTTTCCTTTCTTCCAAGCAAGATTTTAAGATTCCTTTTAAAATTTTTTCTTCTTTTCTTGGGYTGGGGTTGTGGCTCAGTGGTAGCGCGCTCGCCTGGCATGCGTGCGGCCCGGGTTCGATCCTCAGCACCACATACCAACAAAGATGTTGTGTCCGCCAAGAACTAAAAAGTAAATATTAAAAAAAATAATAATAAAATAAAAAAAAATTTTTCTTCTTTTCCTGTTTTTTAAAATTTCTCAGGTTAGTGGCTTGGTGGTAGAGTGCTTGCCTAGCACATGTGAGGCACTGGGTTCCATCCTCAGCACCACATAAAAATAAATAAATAAAATAAAGTTAAGTCCATCTATAACTAAAGATGTTTTTTAAAATTTCTCAGTTTAAAAATTCTTGAGATCAGAGGCCATGTATTAAAATTGTGTCTCATACAGTGTCTTGAATCTGGTAGAATCTGGGCTGGGGTTATGGCTCAGTGGTAGAGCACTTGCCTAGCATGCATGAGACACAGCATCACATAAAAAACTAAATAAGCAAAATAAAGGTATTATGTCCATCTACAACTAAAAATATTTTTWAAAAAAATATAGTAGGGGGGCTGGGTTGTGGCTCAGTGGTAGCGTACTTGCCTGACATGTGTGAGACTGGGTTTAATTCTCAGCACCGCATAAAAATAAATAAAGGTCTATCAACAACTGAAAAAAATTTTTTAAAAATTTAGTAGGATCTTTTTTAAAAAAAATGGACACAATATCTTTATTTTATTCATTAATGTATATGCATTGCTGAGAATTGAACCCAGTGCCTCACACATGCTAGGCAAGCACACTACCACTGAGCCACAACTGCAGCCCTAGTAAGAGCTTAATATTATAAATTATTGGTGAAGTTACCCAGAGTTACTTAGTATCTTGGCATCTCAAAACCACAGTGAGATACCACCTTATGCTGATTAGAATGGCTACTGTAAAAACAAAAGCAAAAGATCCACACACCAAAATATGACAGATGTTTTAAGGATGTGGAGAAATTGGAACCTTTGTGCACAGTTGGTGGGAATSTAAAATGGTACAACCATTGTGAAAAACAGCATGACAGTTCCTCAAAAAAAAAGTTTTTTTTTAGTTGTTGATAGACCTTTATTTTATTTATTCATATGTGGTGCTGAGAATTGAACCCAGTGCCTCACACATGCCAGGCAAGTGCACTACTGCTGAGCCACAACCCCAGTCCACTCAAAAAATTTTAAATACAATAACCACATGATCCAACAATTCTACTTTTAGGTATATATTCAAGAGAATTGAAAACTGAGTATTTAAGAGGTATTTATTTGTACACCCAAGTTCATAGCAACATTATTCACAATAGCCAAGAAGTAGAAACAATCCAAGTGCTCATTACCATATGGATAAGCAAAATGTGGTATATACATACAGTGGAATATCATTTAGCCTTAAAAAGGAAGGAAATTATGACAGATACTACACTATGGATAAAGCTTGAGGACATTATGCTAAGTGAAATAAGTAAGTCATAAAATGACAATATTATATTATCCCACTTGTACGAGGTACCTATAATAGTAAAATTTATAGAAAAAGAAAGTAGAATGACGGTTGCCAAGGACTGGTAGCAGTAGTGAAAGGGATATTGTTGTAATGAGCACAGAATTTCAGCTTTGCAAGATTAAAAGAATTCTGGAAATTGGTTGCAAACAATGTAAATGTACTTAACTGTACACAACTTTAAAATGGTTAAAAATGGTATGGTACATGTATTTTTCCACAATTTTCTTTTTAAAAGGATACTGAACAGGACTTCAAAAGGCCATGATTAGAGTTCTTGATTATTCCTTGACGACTAGTAAATCCTGAGCAAGTTTCTTCTTTACTCAGTGTCCCTGTTCCTTTATCTTTAATCAGGACAGTAAAGCCTGCCAACTCTGGGTGTGTATGAGACTCATATAAAAAACAAAACAATTCTTAGGACAATGTTTTGATTAGGACTTTTCCCAGTATTCCAGTGTCCCATGTCTCTTGATATTTATTACTAGTTTCGCGTCTTATTTCATAACAAAATGTTCTTGAAGATGCCTCAGCAATAGCTTGTTACCACCTCAAAGGATTTGTACGCTGAACCCTTTCAATTTGGGTTGTTCACCTTATAATTCGGCTCCAGGAAAGCAGCAAATAAACATCTTTTATGAGGCCTATTAATGATGTAAGATGCTAATTATCCATGTGGTTTAGCATTAACTGAGGAAATACAGTTCAAGATTTTCATGTTAATATATGGATGCTATATATATATATTCAGAATATATATATTCAGAGCAGACTTGTCAGGTTAATAATATTTTACCTATTTTATAAAAGGAGAAAATAAAGCTCAGAAAGGTGAAGTCAACAGGTTCAGATATGTATGATTCTGATATCCATACTTCTTCTACTATGTTATACTGCTCCTCAAAATATATTTGACTATACTTATATAAAGTATAGTCTATGATAAATGATATGCATTTGATGTATATTTGTACATTTGTATCAATTATCTTTCTTCATCAAACAAGTAAAAGTGACTGTGTAGAGATGGTTATTATCATTTTGTAGATGAAGTAACAAGTAGTAAGAAAATTTAACATCAAGCAACTAATAAATAATAACAGAACTTGGACAGAGGTACTGCAGTTCTCAGACTCTTGCTTTTCTAAATCAACCTCATGGGAACAAAATTTTATCTCTGCATTTTCTGATTCTGATCTTTTTGGTTTTTTTTTTGTAGCAAAGAATGAGCATCTTTTACTCTGGCTGTGCATGAACAGATTAAACATATATGTTTATCCCTGTTCACATCCCCAAATCAGTAAAATGACGGGGAACAAATATTTTTAAAGTTACTAGCCTATTGGGACAAAAAGAGCAAAAAAGAAGAGCCAATGGAGGATATCAACACATAGAAAATAGAAAGCCGTGGTTGAGTTGAGAAAACTGAGTTCTAAATGTTTTCAGAGGGGTATACCAAGAACATACTAAGAAGAGACAAGCAGCTTCATATTGTAGAATACTAGAATGTCAGGAATTGGAGGGTGCAAATGTTTCAGAGACAGGGTTGATATGAAGGGTGGAAAAGAGGGGGATTGGCCAAAAGCCTTTATAGGAATAGGAAGTTAAACTATCAGTTTTCTTCCTCTATCCTACTTACTTTCCTTCCATTTCCCAGTAGAACCCTGGACATTTTTCTGTGGAAAAAAAAAAATCAACTAGAGAAGCGTCAGACTCTGAGATACCAGCATGCTGAGGATAATAGCCAATGAAGCCAAGGTAGGAGGAAACTATGCAGAAAACAGAGATTAGACGAATTGTCTACATATTGAACAATGAAACTTACCCATACCCTCTTGCTACATTTTGCTCTAAGAAAGCTGATAGCAAGGATTATATTCCCCAGATAGGATATCAGAGATAATTTTAGTAGGAACTTAAAATTGAATAACCCCAGAGATAATTTCTATAGCTAATGATAGTTGAGGGTCCCTTAAAAAGCACCTGGGTCCCCACTTTATTATCCTACATGGAAACTCACCAAGTGACAAATTCTATTAACACAAAGCTTCCAAATAATTATTTGGTGACTCACTCTTAAATACAGAAGAGACAGCAAAGGATTACCAGATGCTTAATGTATATCAAGAAAAATAACATCAAATAGAAATGGCAAAGAAAAAAGAAACCCAAGGAAACAGACAAGCAGAAGAATATTTTTTAAAAAAATAAGCATCCTCTGAGAGCTAGTAGAAAATAATTCATCCATAAGGTAAGGGCAAGATGCTCCAATAGAAACAGAGAATAAGTAATAGCTCTGGGAAATTACAAATGTAGTAGCAAAAATATATTTATTTTTAAATATATTCATTCAAGTCTTAATATATAAATTTGAGAAAATCTCTCAGAAAATAGAACAAAAGAGCAGAAATAGAAAACAAAAGAAGATAATGAGAGGGTTAATTCATAGGTCCAACATGAAATTAATCAGAATTCTAGAACTAGGGAATAAATGGAGGGAAGGAAATTATAAAAGAAACAACTGAGAACATGTCTGATAACTGAAGAACATCTGAGTGCTCACGATAATGAAGAAAAAAAGATGACAACAACAAACACTATGACACATCATCATAAAATGTCAAAACACAAGAGATAAAGAGAAGATAAAAACAACTTGGTGGTTGAGGAAAAAGAAGGAGCAGGGGAAAGCAAACAGATTACCTGAAAAAAGAGTAGTTACTAAGAGTTACATATTTCTCACCAGTAATACTGGTGGCTAGAAGACAATGAAGCAATGCTTTCAAAATTGAGGGGAAATGATTTTCAACCTAGAACTCTGCTAAGCTATATTATCAATCAAATATGAGGGATGAATAAAGATCTTTTTAGGCATGCATTGATAAAAAATTTGCCTCCCTCACATACACATAATTTCTTTCAGGAAGCAACTAAAGGATGTGATCTACTAAAATAAGGTTTTAAAAGACGTAGGTTTTAGGGAACACATCAATGTCAGAAAGAAGCAAAAGAAGTTCCAACATGACAGCTCTACAGTTAGCCTAGCAAGGGACAGACAAATTGGAAGATGGAGTACTCTGGGGGTTGGAGGGCACGTTCCAGTGAACCTGATAGAATGCCTGTCATATTTGTGTTGAAAATAATTGAGGCATTTTTACATTTCTATTGGAGAATCTGGAAGAATTAGTGATGATGACATACAAAATCTGGCAAATAAAAAACTGAGGCAATTATTAATTTCAAGAACAAAAAATTCTATAARAAAGGAAATTTAATCACAATAATGACTAATGGATTCAGAGTAAACCATACTTGTAAAACCATCACAAGATTAACAGGAAACATTGATTTAATAAAAAAATCTTTGATATTAGATCTTATTTAACATTTATAAATCAATAGAGCAATAGAAATGTTTTATTTGGTAAATATTGGTAAAAATTAAAAGAAGAAAGTAAGGGGCTGAAGTTTTGGCTCAGCAGTAGACCGCTCATCTGGCATGTATGAGGCCCTGGGTTCGATCTTCAGCACCACATAAAAATAAATTAATTAATTAATACAATGAAGGTATTATGTACAACTACAACTAAAAAATAAATATTTTTTTTAAAAAGAAGGAAGTAAAAGAGTTTTGGAGGGTGTTTCAGGTTTGGGGGAGATCACTGCTTTTGCCCCCACCTTTTAAAATTTGTGCATGCATTTTTGTGAGTAAGGTTATATGTGTATAGGTATGGTAAATATACTCCTGCTATTTTTTTGTTATGAACCTGGTAGTGCCATGGGTCTTGCCTTTCCTTTCCTTTCCTTTTCTTTCTCTTTCTTTTTTTCCTCTCTCTTTGTCCCCTTCCTCCTTCCCTTTTTTTTTTAAATCATGTGACTTTGTAAAGTATTTACAATAAGGCTGGGATATAGCTCAATGGTAGAGTGCTTATCTAGCATATTACAGGCCATGGGTTCATTCCCCAGTGTGCAAAAAAAAAAAAGTTTGTACAAGTATTATCTTGATAAATAGTTAAAATATCAGAGAGAGGCAGCAGGAGGAGAAGAATATCTTAAGTGTCCATCCAGACCATTAATTWAAAAAAATGATATAAATTTTCTTTAAAGAGAAATGGGGGTAGAATATTAGAAGTTTACAACCACAGATATCCAAGAACAATAAACCATAATTATGCCATTTTCTTTGAGAAATCATATTTAGTTTGGGGTGTCATAGGTGCTGTCATCCTCCCAAAATGAGAGAAACAAAATGCAATGTCAGAGTGCTGCTGTTTTCTGAGTTTTAATCATTCTTATTGGCTGAATGTGGGGGGGCGGTAGGAGAGAGAATTAAATAAATGTCATAGATATTACAAAATTTCAATGAGATGTTTTCCTCAAGGCAGTGTCATGAGACTGTCTTATATTTGGAATTGCACTAATTTAGGTTAAAGTCCTACTACTTATTGGCTCTGTGACCTTAGCTGTATTGTCTCTGGCCTTCCCATTTCTTGTGTTTACCCCAGAAGCTAAATTGCAATTAATAATGTCCAAAAAGAACTCCTGTGTGCTAAATCCCTTTCAATAGCAAATACGCCCCAATGTACTCAACGAGGGATGATTATGTTTTCTCTATTAAACTATAAGAACTTTAAAAGTACCAACTATACCTTTGCCTCTGAAATTTCCCACGTATCATATCATATTCCTGTTGTCTGTTTCTCACAGGCATCAATTAAATGTTTCCAGAGATATATTGACTAGTATTTTGAGGAGAGTGATTGCCATTAAATTTTTCCCTTTTAGAAATGACAAAAAGTTATATATGCCCCAGGAAAATTCTGTTTTTGTTGTTAAACTGATGATTGAGTTGGAGCTAAAAAAAAAGTCCATTTCATCCCAAAGAAAGAATGTCTTAATGATTTGTATTTTTTATAAAATATTTTTATGTATATTTTTTAGTTGTAGATGAGCACACAGTATCTTTATTTATTTTTATGTGGTGCTGAGGATCGAACTCAGTGCCTCACGCATCAGAGGCAAGTGCTTTACCATTGAGCTACAGTCTCAGCCCCCAATGATTTGTATTTTTATTCAAAGTATAGACAGAGTAAATCTGGGGCATAAAGTACCCCCCACATTTGGAAAATTTGATTCTTATTTTTACTTTTATCCATGTTCTTACAAAATGTGGAGTAGAATCTGTGAGCCATCTAAACAAAACGATAGCATGGAAAGACAAAGCCTGCTGAGGGGTACATAAGTAAGAGATTTTGTGATCTTGATAAATATAAACCAATACCTAGAGAACTACAGATCACCTTTGGAAATTTAAAATACACTTTACTACAATAAAAAATGCCCTCTATAAAGGGAGTCTTAATTTATAGAACTTACTTGTCTGGTTGTTTAATATGTTTTAGAGCATGACAATTTATCAACTAACGCTATATTATTATAGCTAATATTTAAATTTAATATTTTAATATTTAAATTTAATATTTTAGTTGTAGATGAACATGATACCTTTATTTTTATTTATTTATTTTTATGTGGCACTAAGGATTGAGCCCAGTGCCTCACACRTGCTAGGCAAGAACTCTACCACTGAGCTACAACCCCAGCCCTGTAGCTAGTACTTGAGTGCTTCCTTTTTAAACATCTTGCTAAGCTCTTTAATACATCATCTTATTTTCCTATCATAAGCAACCCTGTAAATTAGGTATTGGAATTATCTCTGCATTACAAATAGAAAAATGGGCTCAAAGATATTAAGTAATATCATACTCCAGATGTAATTTGAGCAGATAATAGATACCTTATTTAAAATATGACAACTCCCCCTGCACCCTGCTTCTTTTTCTTCTCCTTCTCCTTTTTTTTCTTCTTCTTCATGTGAGAAATCAAAACCAGGGCTTTATGCATGCAAGACAAGCACTCTAGCACTGAGCCACATCCCTAGCCCTTGTTTCTTTTGATAGTAGCTATATCATAATACCAGTTAATTCTCTGAAAAAAAATTTGATGTGGTTCTGTTACCATTTTAGCTATATCTCCCATCTTTGTTTTAAAAAAATTAACTGTGTAGACACAAGTTATATGACTTTCTCAAATTTGTTGATAAAAATATTGAAGTGATATGGCCAAGTAAGGCCCATTAATATACCTTTGTCTAGGTTCCTAGACATCCAATCAGCTATGCAGGCAACTGCAAATTCATTTCATTTTACTTCTTCAGTGGCACCCATTGTATCTCCATTGTTACCATGGGAGACTGTCAAATATGAACCTGAAATCAGGAGGGAGGATATACTTCATCTGTTTACCAGCCATATTCATAAAGGAAATGTAATTCATTTGATATGGCTTGTTTTAGTTAACACATACCCATTTCTCTATTTCATATTTCTCCAAGTGTGTTCCCAAACCATGGCTTCATTTTATAATATTGCACAAAATGTAAGTCACTAACTGGGCTATTGTTTCCAGAAATCATTATTTTTTAATATGTATTTTTTTAGTTGTTGATAGACCTTAATTTTATTTATTTATATGCAGTACTCAGAATTGAACCCAGTGCCTCACACATACCRGGGAATTGTGCTACTGCTGAGCTCCAGCCCCAGCCCTGAGAGATCACTATTTTCTGAAATGTAAAAATTTGGACCATCTTTAGTCGTTTCTAGACTCTATCTCTTTGATTTCCTACAGAGTCCTGGAAGTAAATCCAAATGTCACTAGTAACATCTTTAAGTATCCTGGGATGAAATTCTGAACTA